CCAGCCCGCCGCTCCTCTCCTTCCCTTACCGGAGCTGTGCCGTGAGCGGGAGCCCTCCCGGGCATCGCCGTCGCTGCTGACCAGGGAGCAGCCGTCTATCAGCTGCCGCCGCCGCCGCTGCTCCTGCAGCTCCTCTTCCCTCTGCAAGTCGCTCTGGATCTCCTTCTCGATCAGCGCCAGCGTCTGGGGCTTCCAGGTCCTCAGCTTGTACTGCTCCTCCCGGCCGTCCTCCCTCCCGAGCGGGCTTTGCGTCCCCATGTCGTCCACGAAGGAGATCTTGGGCTTCCAGAAGGAGATGGAGAAGTACTCTCTGGGCAGGACAGCCGTGCTGGCGGGGCTGGGGGTGGAGCTGGGAAGCCTTCCTCCCTGGGAATCCTCGCTCCCCCATTTGCTGGCACGGGCGGAAACGCGCTGGGACACCGTGGGCTGCTCCTGGCTCCTCTCGCTGGTGGTGAAGCGTGGCTGGGACATCTGGAAGTGTGTGATGCTCACTGTGTAGCTGGGCAGGCTTCTCCCACCCCTGGTGTCTTCTGCAGGGCTTGGGCCGTGGCTCGTGGGCTGCTCCACCGCAAATTCATTAATCCAGCTCCTCTGCTCATCTGCCTTCCTCGTGGGGGTGGGCTTCTGCGGGGGGGCTTCCTCCTGCTCGAACACCCTCCTGCGCTTGTCCAGCTCCTGCTGCGTCCCCTTGTCATACATGCCCAGCAGCCTCCCTTGCTTCTTCAGATCTTCCTCACGCTTCGTTTCCTGCTCGATTTCCCTCTGGACGTAAAGGGAAGCGCGGCCTTTGTCCTTCCCTTTCCTGCCTGGGACAGGAGATGTTTGCATGGAGAGGAGAGGCTTGGTCTGGATCTCCACCACCTCGCTGCTGGACGTCGGCCGCTGGATCCCCCTCTCCTTCCAGAGGTTATCCTCCCTCTCCATCGCCATGCGGATCTCCCGCTCGATGGGCGTCTCATTGCTGGTCTTTGTCTCCTTGTCCAGGCCATTGCTGCCAGCCCTCAGATCCACAAGGCCACTGTAGATCTCGCTGAACGTGCTGCCGTTGCTGGTGTAGCCTGCACTGGCTTCGTTATACATGTCGCCCAAGCCAGAGTCCAGGTCATCTCTGGAAGATGCTTTAGTAAAGCTGGACATCTTCCTGGTGGAACACGACCTTTCAGTATCAGCCCTTCTGGGAGCATAAACCTCCTCCTTCACGGGTGTCTTGTAGGACACACTATAAACCTGATAATCGGTCTTGTCCGTCCTGCCATGGGTGGACGTGCCAGCATTGCCGTAACCTCTCGCAGCCTTCGTGGCCATCTCGGGACTGGGCCACTCTTGCCTAGAGACTTTTGTCATTGACTCTGGCTTTGGAGACATGGCCTGTTGCCCTGGGCTGAAGAGAGAGCCTGGGCTGGTCTTTTCCAGCATCAGGAACTGCTGCCGAGCAGCGGAGAAGTTGATCTGCTCTGTGTCGATATTTTCAGGGTCGACAGCCGTCACCGCCCTCCCCGAGGAAGGCTTGTCAAAGCAAATGGCAAAGCCGGTGGTGGAGCCACCCGCGTGCCTGCCTTCGCCCTGGCCACCCGCGCCAGCGTTTATGGAGCTCAGCTCATCCATGGAGCTCCACTTCTCAGCTATGGTGGAGCTCTTCCTCACCACCTGGTTCCGGATGACCTCCCTCCTCTCGTCCTCAAGCTCCCTGGCTTTCTGGGGTGAGATGTTTGGTGGAGGAACCCTGTACTGTTCCTGCTCATCCTCATCGTAAAGCTTCGAGGGCTTCCTCTCGCCTCTGTAAACTCTGAGGTCGTACAAGCTTCCTGACCTCACCACCTCCAGCTTGGACTCCCTGTCCGGGGACGGGGTCCAGACATCTCTTCCACCATCCAGGAAGTACGAGGGTGACTTCGACCTCATTTTCCAGCCATAGCTGTTTTCCACCCTCTGACTGCTGTGTTGAGCAGAGCCAAATACGTCGTCGTCGCTGTCGGCCCTCTGCTCGGCAAACGAGCCGGCTTGGTGAGCATCGCTGTACGTCTGCGGGAGCTGGAAGACCAAGTGCCTGGTGACTCTGTCCATCTCCGGGGAAGAGTCAGCACTCAGTCCTCTGCCAGCCTTGCCCTGGACTGGGGACGCTGCTCAGCTTTGACGTCGACCTCGGGCTCCTGGCTCCCCTGGGGACGAGGGGC